ATGAGAGAGAAAAGGAGGAGAGAAAGGGAAAAAGAAAAGAGGGAAATAAAAAAAGGGAAGAAAAGGAGGAAAAGGAGGGGAGAAAGGAGGGGAAAAGAAAGAAAAAGAAGGGAAGACAAAAGAAGGATGAGAAAGGAGAGGAGGAAAGGTATACGAGAAGGAAGAAGGAGAGGGAGGGAGGGAAAGGAAGAAAAAAAGAGAAAAGGGAAGAGGTGCATGAGGGAAAAGAAAGAGAAGAAGGGAAGAGAAAGGAGAAAAAGAAGGGGTTGTGTCAGGAGCGACTTGAGAAACTGCAAGTCACTTCTGGTGTGAGAGAAAGAAGGGGTGAAGGGAAGGGAGAAGAAAGAAAAAGAAGGGAAGGAAGACAAAAGAAGGAAGAGAAAGGAAAAGGGGAAAGAAATAAGAGAAGAAAGGAGGACAAAGGAAGGGAAGGGAAGGAAGGAAGGAAGGAAGGAAGGAAGGAAGGAAGGAAGGAAGGAAGAAAAAGGAGGGAAGAGGAAGGAGGGAAGCTTAAGCAGCTGAGGGGAGAAGAGAAGGAGGCCGAGGCTGTTAGGAATGGTGGGAGTTGAAGTCCAAAACACCTGGAGGGCCCAAGGTGGCCCATGCCTGGTATATATACATATATATGAACTAGCTTAAGTAATTGGATTTGCCTTGGTTTGCATTTTCTTTGTGTATTTACATATACACTGACATACATCCAAACCCAGGCTGTCTCCTCAATGAGCACGCCCTTTAATAATAGTCTCCATCGTGGCTCTTTGGAGGCTAATATATGTAAATTGAAGAATAAATGCTGCAATATAGATGTAATCGCAATCGCAAATCGGCAAGTGACGTGACAGTGTCCGTCTTCTCCCTGCGCAGCAATTCCCGAAGCCCAGGACTGCCAACCTCATCGTCTCTCTTGCAATTTGGCAACGTTTCCCTCATTTCCCAAATCTTGAATCAGCCATATTCAGCCAAAATCCAGACTTCGTGGCTGTTTAGGGCATATACATTACTTTACTACGTGTGCAATTCATATACAAAATGTATTGATGTGTTGTCGAAGGCTTTCATGGCTGGAATCACTAGGTTCTTGTGGGCTTTTTCGGGCTATAGAGCCATGTTCTAGAGGCATTTCTCCTGACGTTTCGCCTGCATCTATGGCAAGCATCCTCAGAGGTAGTGAGGTCTGTTGGAATTAGGACAATGGGTTTATATATCTGTGGAATGACCAGGGTGGGACAAAGGACTCTTGTCTGCTGGAGCATGGTGTGAATGTTTCAACCTTCATTAGCATTTGAAGGCCTGCCTGAGCCTGGGAAAAATCTCCTGCTGAGAGGTGTTAAGCTGTGCCTGGTTGTTTCCTCACTGCTGTTTTTGGTGTTGTAATTTTAGAGTTTTTTAATATTGGTAGCCAGATTTTGTTCATTTTCATGGTCTCTTCCTTTCTGTTGAAATTCAGCCACATGGGGTGCTATCGCTCCATCTTTTATGACAACAAGCCAGTTAATTCCATTAATAGACATGTTGAGAAGTCTACTTTGAGGTTCAAACTTCTCATCATGCCAACGGATGGAAGTAACTGGAAACTGAAATGTTCTCATTCTAATTCACACCCTGATTTGCATTGCGTGTCCATCAAAAAATATCGATGGAGCCTGATTACTGTCAATGTTTATTGACACAGTTTTCAAGTGTTTCTTTTGTGAATACAAATTACCAGTGGTTTTTAGTTATTTTAGTTATGCTTCTTGTGGATTTCAATGGCTTCTCTGTGTAGTCTGACATGGTGGTTGTTGGTGTGGTCCAGCATTTCTGTGTTCTCAAATAATATGCTGTGTCCAGGTTGGTTCATCAGGTGCTCTGCTACGGCTGACTTCTCTGGTTGAAGTAGTCTGCAGTGCCTTTCATGTTCCTTGATTCGTTTGGGCAATGCTGCGTTTGGTGGTCCCTATGTAGACTTGTCCACAGCTGCATGGTATACGGTAGACTCCTGCAGAGGTGAGAGGATCCCTCTTGTCCTTTGCTGAACGTAGCATTTGTTGGATTTTCTTGGTGGGTTTGTAGATTGTTTGTATGTTGTGTTTCCTCATCAGCTTCCCTATGCGATCAGTGGTTCCCTTGATGTATGGCAGGAACACTTTTCCTCTGGGTGGATCTTCATCTTTGCTCTCGTGGCTTGTTCTTGGTCTTGCAGCTCTTCTGATGTCTGAGGTGGAGTATCCATTGGCCTGGAGAGCCCAGTTGAGGTGGTTCAGTTCATCTTGGAGGAGGTGGGCTTTCGCAGATTCTTTTTGCACGGTCTGCCAAGGTTTTAATGGTGCTTCTTCTTTTTTGACTTGGGTGATGGTTGGAGTTTTGATGTAGATATCTATCTGTGTGTGTGGGTTTTCTGTAGACGGTGTGACCCAATTGTTGATCTGGTTTGCGGATGACTAGGACATCTAGAAAAGGCAGTCTTCCTTCATTTTCTTTTTCCATGGTGAACTGGATGTTTGGGTGGATGCTGTTCAGATGGTCCAGGAACCTGTTGAGTTCTTCTTCTCCATGGCTCCAAATGGTGAAGGTGTCATCCACATATCTGAACCATATGTTTGGGTGGATGCTGTTGAGATGGTCCAGGAACCTGTTGAGTTCTTCTTCTCCATGGCTCCAAATGGTGAAGGTGTCATCCACATCTCTGAACCATATGTTTGGGTGGATGCTGTTGAGATGGTCCAGGAACCTGTTGAGTTCTTCTTCTCCATGGCTCCAAATGGTGAAGGTGTCATCCACATATCTGAACCATATGTTTGGGTGGATGCTGTTGAGATGTTCCAGGAACCTGTTGAGTTCTTCTTCTCCATGGCTCCAAATGGTGAAGGTGTCATCCACATCTGAACCATATGTTTGGGTGGATGCTGTTGAGATGGTCCAGGAACCTGTTGAGTTCTTCTTCTCCATGGCTCCAAATGGTGAAGGTGTCATCCACATATCTGAACCATATGTTTGGGTGGATGCTGTTGAGATGGTCCAGGAACCCGTTGAGTTCTTCTTCTCCATGGCTCCAAATGGTGAAGGTGTCATCCACATATCTGAACCATATGTTTGGGTGGATGCTGTTGAGATGGTCCAGGAACCTGTTGAGTTCTTCTTCTCCATGGCTCCAAATGGTGAAGGTGTCATCCACATATCTGAACCATATGTTTGGGTGGATGCTGTTGAGATGGTCCAGGAACCCGTTGAGTTCTTCTTCTCCATGGCTCCAAATGGTGAAGGTGTCATCCACATATCTGAACCATATGTTTGGGTGGATGCTGTTGAGATGGTCCAGGAACCCGTTGAGTTCTTCTTCTCCATGGCTCCAAATGGTGAAGGTGTCATCCACATATCTGAACCATATGTTTGGGTGGATGCTGTTGAGATGGTCCAGGAACCTGTTGAGTTCTTCTTCTCCATGGCTCCAAATGGTGAAGGTGTCATCCACATATCTGAACCATATCGTGGGCTTTTTGGTTGCTGTCTCCAGGGCTTGTTCTTCAAAGTGTTCCATGTAGAAGTTAGCTATGTATTGATGTTTATTCAGTATTAATTTATGCACTTATTGAAGTCATGTGCTGGATTATTATTATTTAAAGGTATTTATTTGCATTAGTCTGGGGATTTCAGAGCAGATCAGAAAAGGCCTCTTCCTTTCCCAATTGATAATAAGTTTTACATTATTTATTCTAAATTATTATTTATTCTAAATTATATTATTATAATTTATAATATATATTTATATTAATTATTATTTTTATATAATAATATAATAATATATTAATAATATTGTAATAAAATGTTACTATATTATTTTAACATTTTATTATATTATTATTATTTTATATTATAATTTAATTTATATTATATTTATATAATATTAAATAATTATAATTATAATAATTATAATTTATATAGTCGCCTTTGGGCTGAGATTATAATACATTGATTATAAATAATGTAATTATAATATATAATTATTTATATTAATTATAATAGATTATATTATTATATAATCATAATAGAATACAATATATTAATTCTAAATGTAATATTTATAATTCCATTTATATTAATATAATAATTATTATAATAATTTAGAATAAGATAATTATATTAATTATAATAGATTATATTATTATATAATCATAATAGAATACAATATATTAATTCTAAATGTAATATTTATAATTCCATTTATATTAATATAATAATTATTATAATAATTTAGAATAAGATAATGATAATAATTTATAATGGATATTATTATTAATATTATCATTATAGATTATAATAAATTGATTATAAATAATGTATAATTATAATATATAATTATTTATATTAATTATAATAGATTATATTATTATATAATCATAATAGAATACAATATATTAATTCTAAATGTAATATTTATAATTCCATTTATATTAATATAATAATTATTATAATAATTTAGAATAAGATAATGATAATAATTTATAATGGATATTATTATTATTATTATAAATATATTATAATAAATTGATTGTAAATAATGTATAATTATAATGTATAATATTATTATATAATCATAATAGTATATATTAATTCTAAATGTAATATTTATAATTATATTATCATTTAGAATAAGGTAATGATAATTTATTTGTAAATAAATAAGAAAATATCTTGGTGAGATGTTCCTATTACAATTAGTTTTAATTACTTGGATAATGTATAATAAGGGAACTGGAATAATAGAATATTCTCACAAAGGCCGAGACCAGGCCTCGAACCTGAAACCAGTGAGAGCGCCCTCTTGCACAAGAGAGCCTAGTACGCATGCGTGACTTCTTTCCCTTCCCGAGTCCCCGTATGTGACCCCCCCCCGACACTCCATTGGAGATAGAGCGTTTCCAGCCTCGCCGCCATCTTGGGCTGAACCCGGAAGAACAGCATAGAGACGTCAATTGCAAGTGCGCCAAATGCCCTCCAGAGGGCGCAATGATGCTATTTCCGTTTCCGCCCATAACTGTCTCCAGAGAAGGCGGGAAAAGCTGAATGGGAAAGCAGAGAAGAAGTGGGAAAGGAAGGTATCATAATTGTCTATTCCACATTTCATATATTATTACTAATAATATTATATTTTATACAATATAATAATATTTAATACTAATATTGTGCTATGCTAATATAATATATGATATATACATATAATATTAATATTATATAATACTGATAATAATTCAATATAATCATATTGTCATAAAATACTAATGTATACAATATAATAATACATAATACTAATATTGTGCTATGCCAATATAATATATGATATATATATATAATACTAATACAATATAACACTGATAATAATTCAATATAATCATATTGTCATAAAATACTAATGTATACAATATAATAATACATAATACTAATATTGTGCTATGCCAATATAATATATGATATATATATATAATACTAATACAATATAACACTGATAATAATTCAATATAATCATATTGTCATAAAATACTAATGTATACAATATAATAATACATAATACTAATATTGTGCTATGCCAATATAATATATGATATATATATATAATACTAATACAATATAACACTGATAATAATTCAATATAATCATATTGTCATAAAATACTAATGTATAAAATATAATAATACATAATACTAATATTGTGCTATGCCAATATAATATATGATATATATATATAATACTAATACAATATAACAC